ACTGAGGCCTCTTTCTGGCTCCCAAATGACCATCTTCTCCCTGTATCCTCACATGGCCTTTCCTCTGTGCTTATGAGGAGAGAGCTCTAGTGTCTAGTGTTTCTCCCCATCCTTGAACCTTTTTTTCTTTTGAGACAGGGTCTCACTCTGTCATCCAGGCTAGAGAGTACAGTGGCACAATCATGGCTCACTGCAGCCTCAAATTCCTGAGCTCAAGCAATCCTCCTGTCTCAGCCTCCTGAGTAGCTGGGACTACAGGCACATGCCACTACACCTGGCTAATTTTTTTGTTTTTTGTAGAGACAAGATGTCACTGTGTTACTTATGCTGGTCTTGAACTCACGGATTCAAGCAATCCTCCAGCCTCGGCCTCCCAAAGTGCTGGGATTACATGTGTTAGCCACTATGCCTGATATTTTCCTCTTCTTATAAGGACATGAGTCCTATCAGATTAGGGTCCTGCTGTTACGACCTATTTAACCTTCTTTATCTCCTTGAAGGCCCTGTCTCCAAATAAAGTGGCATTTAGGGTTAGGGCTTCAACTTATGAATTGGGGGGCAATTTAGTCCATAGCAGGTACTTTTTTCTGCTTTTGTCAACGTTAGGCACTAGCCTCGCTTCTTTTCTTGGAAGTTGTCTTCTGTGTTGATAGGAGAGAGGCAAAAAAGAAATAGTGTTTGCCAGGGCAACAGCTGTGCCGCTGTAATACAGCACACATTGTACGAGTACTGGGCTTAGCAGCCTCCAGGGAGCATGCAGTACCTGAATTCACCTCCTATTCTATATAAAATGCAATATAGAGGCCTTGGCCACTCTTCATCTTCTTGTGACAACTCACTCTGCATTTGACCAGATCAATTATTAACGAACTCCCAACCTTACTCATAATTTTGTTCAGGCCTTGCTGTCACTGGATAAATTGGTTTTATTTTCTTTTTTGGCAATACTGCAAGTTTCCTGCATAGGGTTATATTGACAGCATATATATTAAAACCATACCAATGGATTGTTGATCTCCGATACAAAAGAAAAATGAGAGTATTATGAAGGCCACTTGTAAATTAAGGCCACAGGTTAAATTTCTCCTTTGGACACTAAACTTTACAGCAATAATTATATTTGTTAATTTTATTAAGCTCTTTTTTTTTTTTTGAGACGCAGTTTCGCTCTTGTTTACCCAGGCTGGAGTGCAATGGCGCGATCTTGGCTCACCGCAACCTCCGCCTTCTGGGTTCAGGCAATTCTCCTGCCTCAGCCTCCTGTGTAGCTGGGATTACAGGCACACGCCACTATGCCCAGCTAATTTTTTGTATTTTTGGTAGAGACGGGGTTTCACCATGTTGACCAGGATAGTCTTGATCTCTTGACCTCGTGATCCACCCGCCTTGGCCTCCCAAAATGCTGGGATTACAGGCGTGAGCCACTGCGCCCGGCTTTAAGCTCTTTATATAGAATATTTTTGTTCTTTTTTATTAAAAAGTTTAGTTGTAAACGGTGACAGAATATGCTACTTCAAAATATGCCACTTTGGGCTGGGCACAGTGGCTCACACCTGTAATCCCAGCCCTTTGCAAGGCTGAGGCAGGCAGATCACCTGAGGTTAGGAGTTCAAGACGAGCCCAGTCAATATGGCAAAATCCTGTCTCTACTAAAAATACAAAAATTAGCCAGGCATGGTGATGCAAGCCTGTAGTCCCTCCTACTCAGGAGGCTGGGGCAGGAAAATCGCTTGAACCTGGGAGGCAGAGGTTGCAGTGAGCCAAGATCATGCCACTGTATTCCAGCCTGGGCAACAGAGTGAGACTCTGAAAAAAAAAAAAAAAAAACGCCACTTTGGCATAGAAATTATTTTGAGCTGAAGGCACATGAAAAGTAGCAGATATAAAAGGGACACTCTGAGGTCACACTTTTTTTTTTCTGTACCAGGAGAGAAAAAACATTCTTATCACCAGAGTCAGGGAGTCAAGGCTGAAAAAAATCTATATAAACAGATACTGTTAAAATAACTCTTGTCTTATTTTGCCTTCCCATACATTTTAGTTACTTTCCCACAATTGCCACTCTTTGGCCAACCTACCATGTAAGCATTTGGGATCTGCCACTTCTTTGGGTCCTCATTTTCTAATGGGAAATTCCAGGTACATGTAAAATAAAACCTGTATGCTTTTCTTCTGTTAATCCATCTTATGACAATTGAATTTTCAAGGGGTTAGTGCTGAAACATGAATTAGGGGGCAATTCAGTCCATAGCAGGCACTCTTTCTGCTTTTGTCAACATTAGGCACTAGCCTCACTTCTTTTTTTTTTTTAATAAGACAGAGCCTCACCCTGTTGCCTAGGCTGGGGTGCAATGATGTGATCTCGGCTCACTGCAACCTCTGCCTCCCGGGTTCAACCGATTCTCCTGCCTCAGCCTCCCAAGTAGCTGTGATTATAGGCAAGTGCCTCCATACCCAGCTAATTTTTGTATTTTTAGCACAGACAGGGTTTCACCATGTTGGCCAGGCTAGTCTTGAACTCCCAACCTTGTGATCCTCCCACCTCGGCCTCCCAAAGTGCTAGGATTACAGGCGTGAGCCACTGCACCCAGCCTTAGCCTCATTTCTTAACCTGAGACTCTAAGAGGACAGAAGTAAAGTTTTGCCTCCCTACAGTTGGAAAGATACTACATGATGTTGAAAAAAACATTCTGGGTGACATCAGCAACATGGCAGAATAGGAAGCTCCTGATTCTCCCTCTACCCATAGACACACCAAATAAACATCTATTCATGGGTTAATTCCTTCTGGGAGAAAGTTGGAGACCAGTTGAGAGACTCCTATCCATTGGGCAACTGAGAAAATATCTGCATCGTATGGGTAGGAAGAACTGAGGCATACTTGGGAGTGGGCTCCACTACGGGCACTGCACCATCAAATTGGGAAAGGAACAACCAGCTCTTCCCTGTGGAGAGGAGGGTTTGGACCTCACATATAGCACCCTAATTCTAAAATTCCCTATGGTCTGATTCTTAATTCACTGATTCTAGAAGCACAGGGGATTAAACACATGCAAGTTTCTCTAGACTGCAGGGAAAAAGCAGCAGTTTTACATGGATTCTCAAGAACTTCCAAGGGCTTCATACCCTGGGAGCAATGCAGAAAAGGGACTTTAAAAATGCAGACTTTGGCCAGGTGCAGTGGGTCACGCCTGTAATTCCAGCACTTTGGGAGGCTGAGGCGGGAGGATCCCGAGGTCAGGAGTTCAAGACCAGCTTGGTCAATGTGGTGAAACCCCATCTCTACTGAAAGTACAAAAATTAGCTGGGCGTGGTGGCCCGCCCCTGTATGTCCCAGCTACTCGGGAGACTGAGGCAGGAGAATCGCTTGAACTCAGGAGGTGGAGGTTGCAGTGAGATCGGGCCACTGCACTCCAGCCTGGGTGACAGAGCGAGACTCTGTCTCAAAAAAAAAAAAAAAAAAATGCAGCCTTCGTTTCTCCCTGGAAGAGGTTCATGACATACTCCCTCAGTGGCTACTTGGCAGCCTGGCTTTTAACTAACTTGCATCAGGAAGTTAAAGGGACACACAAGTATTAAAGCATCCCTGCCTACCTGAGAAGCAGATCTACCTCCAGAGCTTTCTCTCCCAGCTTACCCAGAAATAACTCCATGTCTATTAATCCCTCCTGGAAGAAGTTGGTCCATACATCAAGCCTCCCAACTTGTGTTGCTTCCAACCAAAAAACAGCATCCTAAACTTTCTAGTTTTGGGGGCAAGGGCACAGGGCACTGGCATACACATCTCTTTAGATCACAGAAAAAAAGTGGCACTTAAGAACTTCCAGGGGCTTTATTCCCCAGGAGCAGTGCAAAGAAGGGGCTTTAAAAATGCAGCTTCTTGTTTCTTGCAGGAAGGGGTTTGTGCCATGCATCAAGCATCCAAACTGTTACAGCTGCCTCCCAGAGGACTCCATCCTGAGCCTCTTAGCTCTGGGAGCAGAAGGGATTAGGCATATCTGAGTCTCCCTAGATCATGGAACAAAGAGGTGGTTTTAAACAGTTGTGCAAACACTTCCTGGGGCTGCACCCTGTTGGAGTAGTGCAGAAGAGAGGTGGAAATGTGCAGCTCCCATTTTCTCTTTGGAAGGGGCTTACAGTACACACCTTCAGTGGCTACTTGATGGCTTCTAACAAACTTGCATCAGGAAACTAGTAGGACAAACAATAGCCCTTATCAGCCAGAGCCAGACCTTGGCACTTCCTAAGCCTTCTCTCTGGCCCACCCCATAAATCCAGGCCTATCCATTCTGCCTGGAAGGAGTTTTGCCATACACTGAGTGCCACAACTTCTATAGCTTCTCTTTATTTTATGTATGTATGTATGTATGTATGTATGTGTTTATTTATTATACTTTAAGTTCTGGTATACATGCGCAGATCATGCCGGATTGTTACATAGCTATACACATGCCATGGCAGTTTGCTGCATCCATCCCCCCATCACCTACATTGGGTATTTCTCCTAATGTTACCCCTCTCCAATCCCCCCACCCCCTGCTTTCCCATCCCTAGCCCTCCCACCTCCCAGCAGGCCCCAGTGTGTGACGATCCCCTCCCTGTGTACATGTGTTCTCGTTGTTCAACACTCACTTATGAGTGAGAACATGTGGTGTTTGGTTTTCTGTTCTCATGTCAGTTTGCTGAGAATGATGGTTTCTAGCTTCATCCATGTCCCTGCAAAGGACATGAACTCATCCTTTTTTATGGCTGCATAGTATTCCATGATGCATATGTGCCACATTTTCTTTGTCCAGTCTATCATTGATGGGCATTTGGGTTGGTTCCAAGTCTTTGCTATTGTAAGCAGTGCTGAAATGAAGATATGTATGTGCATGTGTCTTTATAATAGAATGATTTATAATCCTTTGGGTATACAACCAGTAATGGGATTGCTTGGTCAAATGGTATTTCTATTTCTAGATCCTTGAGGAATCACCACACTGTCTTCTACAATGGTAAAAAATATGGACCACTTCACAAATTTGCATGACATCCTTCTGCAGGGGCCATGCTAACCTTCTCTGTATCATTCCAATTTTAGTATATGTGCTGTTGAAGCGAGCACTATTTATTTATTTATTTATTTTGAGATGGAGTCTCCCAGTGTTGCCCAGGCTGGAGTGCACTGGTGCAATCTCGACCCACTCCAACCTCCACCTCCTGGGTTCAAGTGATTCTCCTGCCTCAGCCTCTCTAGTAACTGGGAATAAGGTGCGCACCACCACACCTAGCTAATGTTTGTATTTTTAGTAGCAACAGGATTTCACCATGTTGCCCAGGCTGGTCTAGAACTCCTGACCTCAGGTGATCCACCTACCTTGGCCTCCCAAAGTGCTAGGATTATAGGCACAGCCACCGTTCCCGGCATATAGCTTCTCTTTAATGACCTAGATCTGGGAGTCAATGGGCTTTGCATATCTGAGTGACCCTACACCACACAAAACATAGAGGTAGATATACAATAGACCCACTTCCAGCAGCTATGTTCCCAGAATCAGAGGGTGCAACCTGAACATGAATACAGGCATTTGCCACAGATTCTCTATCCATCTTAGTGCAGAGAGCAAGAGAAAAATGCCTACACTCAGTTTCACGATGAAGACAGAAGGAACTGGAACATACATTCAACACCTCAATTTTCCCAGATACCTCTAGAGAGTCTAGCTCTTACCTTCTTTCCTCACCAGTCTTGAAGTACTAACAGGAAGTAGCACATCCTAAGTTCCAGAGGGGTCACCTAAAACAGAGAGATAGCAGTCTGGACAAACACAGAGATTTGACAGGCACTTAAAAATCTCTGTAGTGAGACCCAATCTCCACAAAAGAATAAAAAATTAGCCAGGCGTGGCGGTGCATGCTTGTAGTCCCACTGAAAGGCTGAGGTGGGAAGCTCTCTTGAGCCCAGGAGGTCGATGCTGCTCCCATGAGCTAGGATTGAGCCACTGCACTCCAGTCTGGGCAACAGAGTGAGACCCTGTCTTAATAAGTAAATAAAATATCTGGCGCCTTAAAATCTCATGCATGAGGCCAATATGACAAGACTGGGAAAGGTAATGTCTTATCTAACATGCAGTAACCAACACAGAGAGTAAGGGAAAATGAAGAAATAGGGCAATATATTTCAAATAAAGAAAGAAGATAAATCTCCAGAAACTGACCAGAATGAAGTGAAGATGTGTGACTTATCTGACAAGGAATTAAAAATAATGGTTGTAAAGATGCTCACCAATGTCAGGAAAGCAACACAAGAGCAAACTGAGAATTTCCTTTGCTTTTTGTTTTTTATTTGAAGCAGGGTCTGGCTCTGTCACCCAGGCTGGAGTGAAATGATACAATATTGGCCTAATGCAACCTCCACATCCCAGGCTCAAACTATCTTCCCATCTCAGCCTCCCCAGTAGCTGGTACTGAGGGAACGCCGCCATGCCCAGCTAATGTTTGTATTTTTGGTAGAGATGGGATTTTGCCACGTTGCCCAGCCTGGTCTTGAACTTCTGGGATCAAGCAATCCTCCTGCCCAAACTGAGAATTTTAACAAAGAAATAGAAAGTATTAAAAAGTACCAAACAGAAATCACAGAGCTGAAAAATACTATAACCAAACTAAAAAGAATTCAGTAGAGGCATTCCACAGCAGACAAGAACAGGCAAAGGAAGAATGGATGAACTCAAAGACAGATCACTGGAAATTATATGAGCAGAGGAGCAAAAAGCGAGGATAGTTTAAGAGACTTATGGGGCACCATCAAGCATAATGACATATGCGCTATCAATGTACCAGAAAGAAAGGAGAGGCAGAATGAGACAGAAAACATATCCAAAGAAACAGTGACAGAAAACTTCCCACACTTGGGGAAGAAAATAGAAATCCAGCTTCATCATCTCAGCCAAAATCTCCTTAAGCTGATAAGCACCATCAGCAAAGTCTCAGGATACAAAATCAATGTGCAAAAATCACAAGCATTCCTATATACCAATAACAGACAAACAGAGAGCCAAATAATGAGCAAACTCCCATTCACAATTGCTTCAAAGAGAATAAAATATCTAGGAATACAACTAACAAAGGATGTGAAGGACTTCTTCAAGGAGAACTACAAACCAGTGCTCAAGGAAATAAGAGAGGACACAAACAGATGCAAAAACATTACATGCTCGTGGTTAGGAAGAATCACTATCATGAAAATGGCCATACTGCCCAAAAGCAATTTATAGATTAAATGCTATCTGCATCAAGCTACCAATGACCTTATTCACAGAACTGGAAAAAAATACTTTAAACTTCATATGGAACCAAAAGAGAGTGCACATAGCCAAGACAATCCTAAGCAAAAAGAACAAAGCTGGAGGCACCAAGCTACCTGACTTTTAACTATACTTTAAGGCTATAGTAATTAAAACAGCATGGTAATGGCACCAAAACAGAGATATAGACCAATGGAACAGAACAGAGGTCTTGGAAGCAATGCCGCACGTCTACAATCATCTGACCTTTGACAAACCTGACAAAAGCAAGCAATGGGGAAAGGATTCCCTGTTTAATAAATGGTGTTGGGAAAATTGGCTAGCCATGTGCAGAAAGCAGAAACTGGACCATTTTCTGACACCTTACACTAAAATTAACTCCAGATGGATTAAAGACTTAAACATAAGACTTAACACCATAAAAACACTAGAAGAAAACCTAGGCAATATCATTCAGGACATATGCATAGGCAAGGACTTCGTGACTAAAACATCAAAAGCAATGGCAACAAAAGCAAAAATAGACAAATGGAATTTAATTAAACTTAAGAGTTTCTAAACAGCAAAAGAAACAATCATTAGAGTGAACCAGCAACCACCAGAATGGAAGAAAACTTTTGCAATCTACCCAGAATCTACAAAGAACTAAAGCAGATTTACAAGAAGATAAAAAAAAAACCCATTCAAAAGTGGACAAAGGATATGAACAGACACTTTTCAAAATAAGACATTTATTAGACCAACAAACATATGAAAAAATGCTCATCATCTCTGGTCATTAGAGAAATGCAAATCAAAACCACATGAGATACCATCTCATGCCAGTTAGAATGGTAATCATTAAAAAATCTGGAGACAACAGATGCTGGAGAGGATGTGGAGAAATAGGAACACTTTTACACTGTTGGTGGGAGTGCAAATTAGTTCAACCATTGTGGAAGACAGTGTGGCAATTCCGCAAAGATCTAGAAATAGAAATTCCATTTGACCCAGCAATCCCATTACTGGGTATATACCCAAAGGCTTATAAATCATTCTATTATAAAGACACATGCCCACGTATGTTCATTGTGGCACTGTTTACAATGGCAAAGACCCGGAACCAACCCAAATGTCCATCAATGATAGACTGGACAAAGAAAATGTGGCACATGTACACCATGGAATACTATGCAGCCATAAAAATCGATGAGTTTGTGTCCTTTGTAGGGACATGGATGAATCTGGAAACCATCATTCTCAGCAAACTGACACAAGAACAGAAAACCAAACCTGCGTATTCTCACTCATAGGCGGGTGTTGGACAATGAGAACACGTGGACACAGGGAGGGGAACACCATACACTGGGGTCTTTGGGGGGATGGGGGGCTAGGGGAGGGACAGCAGGGGGTGGGGATGTTGGGGAGGTATAACACTGGGAGAAATGCCTGATGTAGGTAACAAGGGGGATGGAGACAGCAAACCACCATGGCCTGTGTGTACCTAGGCAATAATCCTGCAAGATCTGTACAGGTACCCCAGAACTTAAAGTACAATTAAGAAAAAAAATCCATATCCAAGAAGAACAAAGAGCACAAAATAAGATAATTCCAAAAAGACCTGCACTGAGGCATGTCATATTCAAATTATCAAATTAAAGACAAAGATAATTTTGAAAGCAGCAAGGGAATAACAAATTGTTACATACAAGGCAATCACCATAAGATTATCAGTGGATTTTTCAGAAGAAACCTTATGGGCCAGAGGGAGTGTGGGGTGATATATGAAAATCCTGAAAGAAAAAAAAAAGTCAACCCATAATACTATACCTGGTAACCTTGTATTTCAAAACTGAAGAGGTGACAAAGACTTTCTCAGACAACCAAAACATGAAAGTTTATCACCACTAGAACTGCCTCATAAGAAATGCTAAAGAGAGTTTTCAAACTAAAGGAAGAGGATGCTAACTAAAATATGAAAACATTTGGAAGTAAAAGTAAGTACATTGTCAAATTCATAACACTAACACTGTAATGACACTGGGTAAATCAATTATATCGCTAATATGAAAGTTAAAAGGCAAAACTTAAAAACAACAAAAACTGTAATATTTTGTTAAGGATACAAACTATTACAACTGCAAATTGCAATATCAAAAACAGAAAATGTGGGACAGGCTGGGTGCAGTGGCTCATGCCTGTAATCTTAGCCATTTGGGAGGTCAAGGCAGGAGGATCTCATGAGCCCAGGAGTACAAGATCATCCTGGGCAACACGGTGAAACTTTTGTCTCTGCAAAAAAATTAAAAAGTTAGCAAGGTATGGTGGTGCATGGCTGTAGTACCAGATACTCATGAGGCTGAGGTGGGAGGATAGCTTGAGCCCAGGAGGTTGAGGCTACAGCAAGCCGTGACTGTACCACTGCATTCTAGCCTGGGCAACAGAGCATGACCCTGACTCAAAAAAAAAAAAAAAAGAGAGAGAGAGAGAGTTAGGAACAGTGGCTCATGCCTGTAATCTCTACACTTTGGGAAGCTGAAGCAGGGGAGATATTTGAGGCCAGAAGTTTTAGATCAGCCTGGTCAACATAACAAGACCTTGTCTCTACAAAAAAAAAAACTTTAAAATTAGCTGGGTGTGGTGGTATGCACCTTTAGTTCCAGCTTCTCAGGATGCTGAGGCAGGAGGCTTGCTTGAGCCCAGGAGTTCAAGACTGCAGTGATCTACAATCATGCTACTGCATTCCAGCCTGAGTGACTAAGCAAGACTTCATCTCAAAACAAAAACAAAGAAATGAAAACACAAAATGTGGGGCAAAGGGAGATAAAAGTGTAGAGTTTGT